GCGGGGGGCGGGGCGGCAGGTGAGGTGACGTCAGGGGGCGGGGCCGCAGGTGAGAGGGCGGGGGCTGCTGGCAGTGTCTCCCAGAGCAGGGTCGTGAAACCAGTGCCCCTAGTGCTGGGCTGGGGTCTGGAAAGCCTGGGCGCTGCTGGCCTGCCCAAATCCGCAGGGCAAATGACTGTGCCAGAATACAACCCGTAATACTAATGATCCTGAGCAGTGGCAGAGCCTGCCCCGGTCCCCCGGGCCCTGACCCATTTTATGCCCTCACCCCGTCCTTAGCCTGACCCAGGCTAACCCGTCCCTGCCTTTTTTCTCCTAGGCGCCGCATCGGATCTGGCGACGAAGGGGACGAGATGGTGCCATTTCGCTGATCAAAGGGCGCAGCCAGCCTTCAGCCTCCATAAACGCGGGACATTCGAATTAGTGACGCTGGTGATTTCACCCAGCAAGCCTGATAACGGCACCTTGGTACCAGCTCCAGCTGGTGCCCTGCCAGGTTCTGCTCTTCAGTGTGATCAAAACAATAGAAACCTCAGCCCAAACCAGACATGCATTTCACTCCTTCCAGCAAACACAGCAGCATCCTCTCTCTCGACGGCAGCCTCCATATATAGAGATCACCCTGTCCTGGAGACTGAAGTGCCCGGGTCTGTGGCAGCCTGCAGCATGGAGGGGCTGGTGGAGGCCTGCTTGGTCCATAACTATACCAAAATGATCTGCAGTTGGGTTCAGTGGACTTACTCTGCTGATTCACTGATCTATTGATTTACATCAGCAAAGTGGGGGGAGAATCAGGCCTCTCCTGTTTGCTCTTGAACTTTCCTCTCTATGGAGCCTCCCCTTTGGGGACCTGAGAAGTTACAAGTATCCAGGTTGTAGCCATATTGGTCTAAAGGAAAAAGCAATCAGGGTATCACCTCTACCATGAGCCCTGATTGAGCAGTTACTGTGAATCTGGCCCTCTAGAAATAGCATCAGAGACCTTTTACATTTCAGATCATCGGTAAAAAAAAATCTTGGTTTCACATCTGGTTTGATAGAGAGGTTAGTTTTATTTCATAGACTTCATTGACATTAGGGCTGGAAGGGACCTCGCAAGATCATCGAGTCCAACCCCCTGCCCCAGGGGCAGGAAGTCAGCAAGGGTCAAATGATCCCAGCAAGATAGGAATCCAAATGTATCTCAAGAACAGAGACTATTCCAGGCCTTGGGGGCTCAGACAGTAAAGAAGTTTAGATGCAGGTGTCTTTACAATCAAGTACCCAAGAACCTATTGTTCATAGATTTCATAGATATTGGGGCTGGAAGGGACGTTGCAAGATCATTGGATCCAGCGCTTAGCCCAAATATGTATTACAAAATAACCCGACTTATTTATTGAGGGGTGGGCTCAAACCACTGGATAAATGAGGATCTGGGGTGTGCAGGCAGCTGAGTGAAGCCTCATCAGCCTCATTCAGCTGGTTTTCAGCCCATTGGGAAACTGGAGGCCCTTTCTGCTGTGCTCAGGTACTCAGGGTAATGAAAATGACAGAAACCCTTCTAAGATGCACCTGCTTCTGGGCTGGACACACAAGCTGCAGATCAGCGCACAACAATGCTATGCAACAGTGCAGGACAGGATTCCTGGAGGAACAGTGTCCACTAGAATTTTTTCCCCTGCCTCTCTCATTCCCTTGAGGTGACTGGAAGCACCTTGAATCACAACGCTGTGATCCATAATGAGATCTGTGCTTCTGAATATTATCAATCACGTCGGCCCTACCGAGGCACCCCAGCAGTGCTGCTTAAACTCCCAAAGTCCTGGCCCAGCCTGCACTGGACTCTGCAACACATGGGACACTGGTTGTCCCCACGCCCTGAGTAAGAGTTTGGAACGGCTTCCCACTGCTGCTCTGACCAGATCCCTGGGCTCGTGCATGCTATGGCAGCTATTCTTTGCTAGGCTGCCTCCTACGGAGGGGGGAGATGAAGCATGAGATCTTTGCACCAGGTGTCCAGGGGCTCCTAGCTGCGACGGGGACTTATAAACTACTTCCCCCAGGACATTACTCAGGGGAGAGCCCTGGTGTGTCAGAGCAGGAGCAGTCAGCACACAGGGGAACAAGGTTGAAGTCACTGTATTTTGTCTAACCCCTTGTGCGCCTCCAGGTTCCCACCCGGCATCAGCTCCGATGCTGTTGCTTCAACCTTCCACCACAGCTTTGCATCACAGCTTCTTCCAAAGCATCTTGTCTCTGCAGGGCAGCTCTGGGGCGGATTGTCTGGCCTGAAGGGGACACCCCAAGCAACACTCCCACTGCTGATCTTGGCTTCAGCTCCAAAACAGTCCAGAGCAGGGCTCTGAAGCAGGGAGAGCAGATTCTGAAACAAGACAGTACAAGAAACTCCCCCCAAATCTGCATCATCCCTGCCCAGCAGCCGCTGGAGGGCTGGGTTCACCGGAGCATGGGGATTCAGCCCCCAGTGGCACCCAAGCCCCTGCTGCTCCTTTGCGGCCCAGTCCTGCACTTCGCTCAGCATCTCCAGTGAGGCATCAAGTGGCTGCAGCTCCTGTGATACCTCATGAGCACTTGGCCTCCTGTGAGATCACACTGGCAACGCCCGGTCAGAGAGCATAGTGCAATAGAGGCATCCAGCAGACCTGGCACACGTAGCTGTGCCTCAGCTACCCCTTGCACCACACCTCTGTCACGAGGCTTCTCACTTCCTTGGGCTGCAAGATCATCCTACTGGGGCCCTGAGATCCACGCGGGGCCTCTTTTGGCTGGAGAGAGTGTCTTCTGCTTCTTGCATGGTGGGGCCTCAGCCCCCAAGGATGTTTTTATGTTTTATGTTGCTTCCTCCTAGCACGGGTCTCTTCTGAAAAGCAAAGGGCTGGACTGGCCTGGGGAACTGACTAGTGCTTTAATTACACTCCCAGCAATGTAACTGCTCAGAATCTAGATTTATACCCACTGACTGATGCTTCTGATGCCTTCATGCTGTGTGATCTGATGGGGAGCCAAGAGAAGCACTGTGGCTGGAGCTTCTGGGGTCTGACTTAAAGGTATCTGTGTGTGGTCACTGGAAGTGCTTCTGGGCAGGCGTTTTTGCCCCCGTGTGCCAAGAAGGGCAAGCTGGCTAATACCAAGTGAACAGTGCCTGCAATCTGCCAGTGTAGCCCTGACCTGCTGCCTGCTGCAGCACGCTGCGACATCCCTTCCCCACTCAGGAAGCTCATTCTGCAGCCCTATCTCTGCACCTGGGTGTCATTAATAAACCTAATCTCAGAGCACCCTGATGACCGGGGATTGTTATCTCCCCTTTCCAAGCATGAGGCTGCAGTGCCCAGGGACTTGTCCAAGGTCACTCAGGAAGTGTGTCGCAATGCTAGAAAATTAACCTATGTTTCCTGTATGCAAGGCCATGCCTATACCCCCAAGCCTTCCTTCCTTTACCCTGGCCCTAGCTTGCTGCTCTGGCCTTGAGGGCAGAATGTGGCACCCACCCTTCAGCTTAAGTCCTTGGCTGGCATGAACAAGCACAGCTCCATCCAAGCCCATGACATTTCACCAGTTTCTCCTCATGGAGGAGCTGACCCCAGGTACCTGGAGTCTCGGGTGGCAGCACCGGCCTCTTGATGGGCAGGCAGTTGCAACCATCTCTCTAATCCAGGCCATATCGCTCCAGGTTCCCCCAGGTAATACTTGGACCTCTGCCTTTCCAGTGGCATTGACCAGAGGCAGTCTATTCACACGAATCAGCCGGATGTAGAACCGAGCGCTCCAGCCTAGAGGGCTCTGTGAAGTTATGCCCGTGCGGACTGGCTCATCTGATTTCCAGTGTGCCCATCTCCTTATCCTCTGGGTGATCTGGCATGTGTACTCGCAGAGAGAGCAGCCCTGGCACTGAAACAAGCCATGGTAGAGCTCCGGGGTGTCTGTAGCCTGGGCACAACAGAGTCCAGTGGCTTGATTCTGCTTTCTGCTGTAAATCTGGGTTAAAGCTGATGGAGAAGCAGTGAGAGGAGCAAGCAGATGGAGGCCTGAGGACTTGAGCTTCACCTATTCCAGTTGCTTGTGCAGGGTATAACCCAGGTTTTGTGGTGGAGAGGAGAGGGTCTCAAAGTGTTTCAAGAGGGTGGTTTCCACTGTCCTCATTCCCCAGGGGGAGATGCTGAGCTGCGGAGGGTCTGTGCTTTGGACCAATGTGTCATGCAGCAAACAAGTGGTGGACCTGGGAGCAGACCCCAGGCGTCCGGGCTGCCTACACTGTACTCTGACCTCGAGAGACTGGAAAGGGCACGTGTGTGTTGGGTAGAATGAGATGAGACAAAGAGTCCAAAGAAACATCTTCCGAGCAGCCAGGAATGTTTCAGACGCCTATAAAATGTGACGCGCCAGTCTAAAAAAAGGAGAAATCGCCCCTGGAAGTGGGTGAGAGGTCATGGCAAGACTAACCAGGGGGACTTTGCACCCCTGGTCCAGTGCCACCCCGGATTGGAGGAGGACAAAAACATTTGGGTAATAGTTACCCAGGTCAGGCCAGTCCTTACAGTGCGGGCTCCCCCTCCTTGGCTGTCAATCACAGCGGATCCCCAATCAGAACCAGGAGGGTTTTGCAATCCTTGATGCTATTTCTGCTCAGTTGGAGTTTAAACTTTGTCACTGAGTGGAGGAAGCTTTGGGGAGAGGAGAGGAGAGAGAAATTATCCCGAATCACTGGTACTTCTAGGGGTCCGGCAGGAACACTTCCCCCCAGCCAGCAGGCCCCATTTGCAGACGCCCCTGTGCCTGGAACTGGGCTGGCAACAAAGGTACGTCCCCAAGCTTATTTCTCCCAGAATTTGCCAGTTCGGGTCCGTTCCAAGCTGCGCTGTGCTTGGCTATCAGTGCAGCACAAACAACAGGACAAAGGTCGGGGTGCGCAGTGAGATAAGCCCCCCTGGCCAAGACAGGCTTAACAACAACCACTTGGTTAGATTTGTTTTTCCTTTAATATCCCATTAATGAGCTACCCTCACCCCATGGGATTTCCCTTCCATTCCCTCTTCCAAATCTGCTGTCAAATGGTATTTACAGGCACCATTATACACTCTGACTCCAGAGCCGGTACCTAAGTATATCTGTCTTCCAGTGTGTTGATTAAGGCCAGAATTTTCTCATGGGTTCCCAGGGTTTCCCAGAAGACTGGTTTTCTCAAGAGCTTGGCGTGCCTGGGTGACAAGTGCTTATGGAAATTTGACACAGACAGGGACCGTGGAGGCTGCTTGGGATTTGGGATATGCCGCCTTAATGGAAGGGTCTTCATGAAGAACCCATGTTGACCATCAGGTTTTGTAGTTGCAAAGCAGAGGTGGCAGGGAAATGGTGTTTTGGCTCCACGCAAGGGTTGGGTGAGAATGAGAGAAGTTTTGAAAGAAGTTGGGTTAGAAAGAGAGAAAAAATTTCTTGCAAGGGTTTTGGACTTTGGTTGGAAAACCAAAAAAAAAAAAAAAAG